TGAGAGGGTGCAATCTTACTACTTTTCTATCACTCATTTTAGTGGTATTGTAGCGTTAAAACTCTCAGACTCTGTTTTAAAGCAAAATAAAAGGATTTATTGAAAGCCAAGAATCATTCGAATGGGGAATCATGGAAACCTCCGCAAGTGAAGTCCATGAATCTGATGTGGGGCTGTGACTGAGTCCCAGTTATAGGGCAAAATTGAGAGGTACAACCCACAATAATCTGATTGGTGGACCATTAGGTAAGAGAATCAAAGATGGGACACTGAGAAGTGATGCTCTGGATGTCATTGGTTACATTATTACAGCTGGCTTTTAAGAGACTGGATACAGAGTATTAATTGTACAGAGCATAACTGCAGAAATTAGTGCTAGGGAGGGGTCATTAGGTGTTTACAGGATGATTACAAAGCATACGTTCTGAGAACAAATTGTTAAAATATCCAGAGGACATTTTCAATTACCATTTGAGTCAAGCCCCACCCCACCCCACACACACACACTGTTTATCTTAACCACAAAGAAAAGTGTTTCCTTAGAGACAGGGTTGGTTCCTTGGTGATATGGTTGGTTCCTCAGTGATAGGGTTGGATCTGTGTAAAAGATTAACAGCCTGTTTAGCAAGACACAGAAAATGGGGTATGAGACCAGCCATTTTACTTTGGTCAAGTGTCCTATAATTTTGGGGGCTCCGTGGCAGTGGGAAATATTTGAGTTTTCCTTTGGTGACTTGTATCTGCCTTACATAGGTTCTAGCTTTCACAGGTTTTACTGTACGTTGATTTCACAGTCAGTCATCTTGCTAAACTCTCTTGTTCCTAAAAATCTGTCCCGGCTTTCTTTGGATTAGACAATCATACATCATCTATGAATAATGACATTTCTTTTTTATTTTCCAATCTTTGTAACTTTTATTCTTTTTCTTATTTTACTGCACTGGCTGGGATCTCCAGTAAAATGCAACCTAAGTCATTAGATTACTAAAATTTGGGAACTCTTGACAAAGACCACAATAATGATATTAACCGTACCTTTTAAAAATCAGAAAAAATCTGGAATTAAAAACAAAAAGCAAAGCCAAAGTTTAAAAATCATGAGAAAGATGTGCCACTACAAGTCAGAGAAGACCATATATGAAACAAAATTAACCAATATATTATTTAGGAATACAAATATGTAAATGTGATTGAGCTAATTTTTAAAAGCAAACATTAGGGTACTGATTATCTTTGGCAGGGAGGCAGGGAGAGGGGAATAAGGAAGGAATACACAAATAAATGCAAAGTTACTGGTTTTGCTGTAAGTCTTAAGATGTACAACAAGTTCACAGGCACCCGTTTTAACTGGCATTATTTATAAGTTACATGTTTCTTTTGTACATATCAAATGTAACATTTACCTCATAAATTAAACCCAGATCTACTTACAAGTCTCTAAACAAGCTGTTTTCAATACTGACCTGTATATTATACTTTTTTTTTTTTTTAAATGCACATCCTTGGACCACCACAGACCTATGGAATCACATTCTCTGGAGCATGCCACATTTTCAAAAGCAATACTTAGGAGATCACATCATCACCATCGTGTTTAAAATCCTCTAATGGACTTTCCCCATTAAAAATCAAACCTGTGCCATCGAGTCAATTCGGACTCAAAGTAACCCTCTAGGACAGAGTCAAACTATCCCCATAGGGTTTTCAAGGCTGTAATCTTTAAGGAAGCAGACTGCCACATCTTTCTCCCACAAAGTGGCTGGTGGGTGTGACCACCTTTTGGTTAGCAGCCAAGCACTTAATCACTGTGCTACCAGGACTCCTCCTTTCCCACTATACCTAGGAAAGTACAACCCCTTTACCACAGCCTGTAAGAATCTCCAAATACCAGACTTATCTTTCCAATCTAGTCTCCCATCACTCTCCCTCTTAGTTTATGATATTCAAGCTACACTAGACTTCTTTCTGTTCATCAGATATACTAGGTCCTGACTTGGGCCTTCACAACTTTACTTTGTCTGCACCATTCCTCCTTCACATTTTCGAATACCTAGTTTTTTCTCAATATTCAGGTTTCAACTCAAATGTCATTTCCTTAGGCCTTCTCTGAGCTCTGTTTAAATTTAAAACATACATCAAGTCACTCTCTTCTATCAAAGTTACTATCTGAAACCAATGCATTTGTTCTGATGTCTCTCTTCTCGCTATGAGTGGGAACTGACTCGATGGCAATAGGTTTGGTCTTCCCACCACACAGTAAACTGCATGAAAGAACACTGTACCTCTTCTCACTTTGTATTTCCAGGCTCTGATACATAGTAACACTAAAAAGGAAAGGGAAGGAGAAGGAGAAATCAGAAGAGAGGGTGGAGGGAATAGAGTCGAGATCTCAGACAAAAGAAGAAAATGGAGCCAAGTTCTAGAAACTACCCATGTGGAATGGAGCAGCTCTGCACCTGGAATGTATGCTCATGCTCTGAAGAAGGACTGGTGAAAGACAATAGAAAAAAGAGATTTTGGAGAAGATCTGGAGACCAAAGGAGTTCTTCAAAATTACTTCCATTTTCTAGCTTAAGCTCTTACTCCCACTACTGATATGCTTCATCAGTGAGAAAAATATATTTTCAACTTAAAAAAAAAAATTATTGTGGTAAAATATACATAAAATTTGCCATTTAAAGTGTGCAATTCAGTGACATCACCGCTATCTAGCTCCAAAACTTTTTCATCACCCCAAACAGAAACTCAGTACACCTTAAGAAATAACTCCACATTCTTCCTTTCTCTTAGACCCAGTTAACCACGAATCTACTTTTGTCTCTCTGTTATTTGCCTATTCTAGACATTTCATATGAGTGGTACAATATTTGTCCTTTTGTGTCTGACTTATTCCATTCAGCATGTTTTCAAGGTTTATTCATGTCACAGCATGTATCAGAACTTCATTTCTCTTTATGGCTGAATAATATTCCATTGTATGTATATACCACATTTCGTTGATCCATTTTTCTACTGATGGACACGGGTTATTTCTACCTTTTGGCTATTGTGAATAATGCTGCAATGAACACTGATGTACAAATAACTGTTTGAGTCTGTTTTCAATTATGTTGGATATATGCCTAGGAGTAGAACTGCTTAGTCATGTAGGAACTGTGGGGCATTGGTAGTTCACTGGTAGAATTCTCACCTTCAGTGCAGGAGACCTGAAGCACAGCCACCACTCCTCTGTCAGTGAAGGCTTACATGCTGCTGTGATGCTGAACATGTTCCAGCAGAGCTTTCAGAATAAAACAGACTAGGAAGAAAAACCTGGCCATCTACTTCCAAAAATCAGCCAACGAAAACCCTGTAATTTTCACAATTAAAAGAAAAAGTGTATGGGTCACAATGGTTTGATCCCATTGTGCATGGGGTCCCATCAATCAGGAGTCAATGTAATGGCAGTAAACAATAATAACAAAGATATTATAGCCTATTCTTGGACCATTTTCATGTTTCTTTTTGTTATGACATCTTGATTTCCTGCCTTTTTTTTTTTAATTTTACTTTGTTGTTGTTGAGAATACACAGCAAATTCAACTATTTCTACATGTACAATTCAGTGACACTGATTACATTCTTCAAGTTGTGCAACCATTCTCACCCTCCTTTTCTGAGCTGTTTCTCCTCCACGAGCATAAACTCACTGCTTCGTTAGAGTCCTACCTAACTTTTGAGTTGCTGCTGTCACTTTGATCCCATATAGACAGTTCTTAAAAGAGCATAATGCTCTAGATCCTCAGAGAAGGGCTTCAACAATGTGCCTGTTTAAATTAACATCAGCTCCAGGTGATTTTTATGTGTAAGATCACTGAGAACCTCTCACTAGAAGTGCAGATGGAGGTACAATGTAGGGGCTTTTGTAGGATCTAGGAAGAAAGTGGGGTTTGCAACGACAGTAAGAAAGAGATCCTGCACAGCTAGAACGTGGCAAACACAAGGTTAAAAAAAAATAGATTGGTAGTGTTATTTTGTAATATATCATCTGGCAATAAAGTTGAAACATCTGCAAGTATACTGCTCCCAATCAGATAGGTATCAGCATATTATAAAAATTACTACATTTGCTACGTATTAAAACATTGGCAATTCTCCAGTACAGATTCTTTCCTATTCTGCCTCCACCCTGTTCATACAAACAACATATCACCACTTGTTCCAGCTCTTTTTACATGTGGCTTTTAAAAAGCACAGAAGGCAAGGAGGTGGGGAGGATATGTTTCCCCTAATGGGAGCAAATCATTCTCTGAGGGGGATAAGTATAGGTCCCCCTGAAGCTTTGTTGAGTTCTGATTACTGTGGGGAATCACTGCTTTAATCTTTCCATTTTATAAAGGAGAAAACAGGTTCAAAGGAACAGACTTGCCCAAGGTGAGCATGGTAGAGCCTGAATTCAAACACATTTTTTGCTGTCTTACTACTCTACCACTCTTCTCTATTAAAACAAGAGGACCATAACTTTTCTAATGCTGTTTTTGGAAACAGTCTAATCATAACATTCTTTAAAAAATTAAAATGTACAGATGCCTACAAAGCAATTTCCCCAAACTGTCACTAATGATTTTTATATTATTAATACAAAAAAATCATACCTTTGTTGCTGGCAACAGAAGGATAAATGGTAGGCACAAGAGGCACAACAGGATTTTTAAGTCTAAGGTTGGAGGATGAGGTTATTCTCCCTCAATATAAATTTCTAATTTAATAAGTGTAGAATACTGGTCAGTACAATCCTTTTAGAGAATGACTATATTACTCAAGGCACCTGACATACCAACTCCATGTAATTATAACAGTTATTAAATACTGTCACTCCATCTGGGAGATGAGAGAAATACACAGATACATCTTAGCAAAAACCAATACAGACAGAAGTCAGGAAACAGTTTCTAGTTTAATCACATCAAGGCTAATGGTCTATTCAAAATATAAACATAACACTCTGAAACAAAGAGTACTTACAACTCCAGAACATTTTAATTCTAAATAGCTTTAATCAATAAAAGCCCACTGTCTCCAAATGATCATCACTAAGGGAATGAATAATCAGTCCCATTAGTGTTGGAGAAAGTAAAAAACAAAAATGGGGGGTGGAGGAGGTGAAGGTTAATAACCATTATCTTTCATAAGGATGAAACACTGCTTCCTCAACAATTCAGAATGTGACTTAATGATATGAATAGGCAGAAGAAAAATAACTGTCCATACTTGCCTTATACACAATATTGGGCAATTAAATGCCAACTGCGCTATTTAGGAATGGCTTGCTAAAACGTTGAAAAAATGAAAGACTTCATCCTTGTCATAGACTGCCACTTCAGTGGAACATTCAGTGCACACAACTGGGTGGTAGATTTCTTCTGCTTCTGTTTCTGCCCACTTTGCTGTATCTTCTTGGCTGGATCTCATCTTCTTATGGCCCCACCTTTTCTTCCTGTTCTCTGGGGTTTTGTATCTTAGAATCTCCTCTTTGTTGACAGAACAATTCATCACAAACATTGCTCTATACTGAGTTTTATATGATTCATGCCTAAGAGGAAAATGAAATGGAGAATATTTACCTAATTAGATAAAATTTGAGAAACACCACAAACTTACTGAAACTTCAACCAAAGGAAAGATATGGAAACAAAACAGCAAATTTCAAGAAATTTTAAGAGTTGTTACAAAAACAGGAAGAAACTTTTTAATAAATAATTGTATAAAGAAGGAATGTACTACTAAAAGTAACTTTTGTCTCAGGAGAAAATTTGATTTTCTCTGCAAACCTGTAATGACAGAAGTTGTTGGAAACTTGACAGGTAATTGTTAAATAATCTTTGACTACTTCATTACCCATTATGGCCTGAGGCTCTGCCCTCTTTTCATCATAAGTGGTGCAATTCTGGTCACCATTTTAATAGAAGCTACAGTTTTAAAAGCTTAAAGAGCTTCTGACTTTATAATGCCCACTCTTGGCTTTACTCCACCCATCCAGTGAATAGATCCTTTGTTCTCATACATTTAATATTTTCCTACTTCTTTCCCCACTTAGTAAGTTGCTCTTCTTTTTTCCCCTTAAGCCTCATGCAACAGAAATATCTATTCAGCTAAAAAAGAGTGAACTGGTGCTGTACATTCATTAGTTCCAAATGCTGACCTCCACCATTTTGTTGACCACCACAACTACCAGGAATTTGGACTTCTCCAGGTAAAACAACGATCCAACCTTTCAAAAACGTATTCAATCATAAATACTCCTATGTATATGTGTGCACGACTCTACCTATCTCATATCTATAAGAAGCTCTTATGTCATGTCTATACACATTTTTTCCCTCCTTTGTGTTTCTTATGCATCAGAACAAATCATTTTTCTGAACTGTTTACTTAAAGAACACTATACTTTCCAGGATTTGCTGTTTTTTCCTTAGAAGCCTTAAATTATTATTTACCTAAACTTTAAATATTCCATTAGAACAAATTCACTTTTACTGCATTTTACTGGAACCCTACCCTAATGTAGAACATGATTTTCATCAATTTCCACTGTCAGATCATCACCCGGTGATGTGGTTTAATTTGGAAGAGAAACCACTTAAGTACAATAAGTCATTTTACTTTTTCTTTATTCCATAAACATATGCTAAGTGTCAACTTACATGCAAAAAGACTAAGAGTTCATAAGGAGACTACAAAAAGTAATTATTGTAGATGATCAGAAACCTCAAGTTGGTTAATAAGAATAAACTAAAACTAGGTATTCATTAGTTTCTAAAATGAATCCACTACCTATATCATCACTTAGTTTCAGTCAACTTGCTTCAGAACATGGATGAAGCTAGTGTTTATAAGACTACCAAAAAAAAAGGAAAAGGGCAAGAGTATATTTAGCAGATTACATCATTCCAAAAAATATATGCAGTTTCACTAAATCCTTGTGCACTGACAAATGCTTTATTAGGAAAACTACTTATAATAGAACTATACACAACCAAAATTATTTGTATAAAGATTAGTCATGTAGCACCAAGGATATATGAGTACAGAAACTTAACAGGATTCCTGAGTACCTCAAAAGTCTATTTCTGATTTAAACAAAGGACTACCAAGTTGTGTTTTTGGTTTTCGTTTCCATTCACCCGTTACCTTTGGCAATCAAGGCACAGCGTGGTCATGCACGCTGGGCAATTCAAGACGGCATCACTATTAGGAACAGGCTGTTGTTGACGTGGGCTTTGTATTCCAAAACCATGGTAGCTAGAACAGAAAAAGAAAGTAGAGGAAAGACGCATTAAAGCCAGATCTTGGTTTCTAATACCATTCCCCAGCAAAAGGAACCACGGCTCCTTGGAGAAACGGCTGATTCTAGGACTGGGCAGGAAAATATACCAGATGAACCTGGAGCACCTTGTAGTTTCAGAAAGTAAGGACTTGCTTTAAAAAAAAAAAAAAAAAGGCCACATAGACAGGGGTATTTCAAAGGGGCACAGGAGCCAACTGAAAGCATTCCTAATGGCAAAAGCTGGAACAAATTAAGCAATAAAATAAAGTAGTATGGGATTATAACCCAAAATATAAAATATGAGTCCACGATGATATAAATAAATGATTGAATGAATAAATAAATAAATGAGGAAGAACAGATAAATCTCCCACACAGAAGAATTCCAAGTAGTTTATGTAGACACTCTCTCCTCAATGAGGTGGAGTTACAACTCCCCACTCAAGTGTGGGCTGTGCAGTAACATCCAGAATTCAGTATTGAATCAGCAGCTAGACTGTAAGCTCCCTGACTATCTCGATACCACGCACAGCACTTAAAATGTTCATTTCACACAGTGGGTGATCAAAAAATACATGTCATGTTTAATGAGAAACGAATTTGCTCTGTAAACTTTCACCTAAAGCACAATAAAAATAAATAAATAAAACGAAAATAAAAATTCAAATTAGCTAGTGAATTCTCATATACCCATTAGCCAAATTTAAAAATCATCCAAAAAGAAAAGGAGAGCCAGAGCACAACACGTCCTCTGGAGCCAGGGTCCCTGTGCTGAGAAGCTCCTAGACCAGTGGAAGATTGATGACAAGGACTCTCCCCTAGGCTGTGAAAGAATAAATTTCTATTTGCTAATGCCAAATATATATATATATATATAAAATTATATATATACATATACATTTATATAATTATTTAAGTTTGCCGATTACTTTCAAAATAAACTACCCAGCAGTTTTTTCTCAAACTTTGTTTATGTGTACATATAAACATACACACACATACACACATACATTCAAAATGTGAATGTAGTGAAAAATCATCTTTTAGCTATTCCTTTTTCTCTGTATATGTATGTGTGTGTGTTAAATAATTGTGAGGGGCAGTTGGAGGAAGCAGTGCATGGATGAAATAGGGAGAAGAGAGAAAAAGGACAAAGTGGAAGAGCAGAGGATAAAAGGTGGTGTACAAAGACCACCCCCCAACAACGACAACATCAAAAGCCCTCCACGCTTAATAAAAAATAAAGATCCCTAGAACCCACCTTAACTGAATCAAAACCTCCTAGAGCAGGACTCAAGGGTCTGCATTTCAAACAATCTACCCAAGTGATTCTGAGGCATAGCCAGGTAGGGGAAGCACTGGGCAATGGTGGTTAAGTTGTCTAGCTTTTAGTTTTATGATGAATCAGCCTTTAAATCAAAACAAATTTGTAACTAGCTAAAAAGAACAATTCAGTTGCTAAACATAACATCCACTCTACATCCACATAAACTCTTAATCTCAAGGTAACTTAAAATTGTATCTATTTGAAAAAGTCAATTTTGTTCCTTGAATGGAGGAATTAAACACAGTGGTTTGAATTCAACAAGTTTTCAAAAATCAATTATCTAACTTAAGTCTGCTGGTTACTTCCAAAATAAACTACTCAGCAGTTTTTTCTCAGACTTCTTTGTTTATGTGTACATATAAACATACATACATATACACACATACATTCAAAATGTGAATGTAGTGAAAAATCATCTTTTAGCTATTCTTTTTTCTAAAGATGCTAAATATTAACTTTAAGTTTTTACCTCCTCCTCTGTGCATCAACCCAGGCCTGATCTCTGTTATCCTTTTCAGGATCATATAGTAATTCATCATTTGTTGGAATCCGGTATCGTTTCTTCTTTTTTTTCTTGGTCACCTGTGCTAATTTTGAAACATAAGGATATGGCTAAGTATCACATCAAAAGTTTGTTGTTGTTGTTGATTCCAACTCATAGGGATCCTATAGGACAGAGCAGAACTGCCCCATAGGGGTTCCCAGGCTATAATCTTTATGAAAGCAGACTGCCACATCTTTCTCCCATGGAGCGGCTGGTGGGTTCGAACTGCCAACCTTTCGGGTAGCAGCCAAGCACTTAACCATTGTGCCACCAGGGTCACTCAAAGCAAGCAAGAATATGTCTAAATTCTCGACAAGTTCCCATACATAAAACACTACTTAAATCAAAACAAACATATTTCAAAAGTTAATGGGGGATAAAAACTACAGGTATCCATATACAGAAGACTTTTTTAACATACCCTAGTAGGTCAATATTTAGGTAATAATCTAAAACTGTTACTTTACCATATAAATTTATCCGTGTATTCTAGTGTAATTACTAATAAAACAAAATTAGTTTTATCTTCTGCCATTATGTTCAACACTGCTCAACTTTTATACAAAATCAGTTCCAAAGAACAGAGAAGCTGATGTAAAAGCAACAAGTTAGAAAAATTCTACAGAAGAGTAAAATATAGAAACTATCTGCAAGTCTGAAAATGTTGCTGCTCTAAGGAACCTGAAGGGAGAAGGAGGCAGTGAGCCAGGGGACACTCTCCCTCACCCCAGCCGTGCCCATGCAACACCGTCCGTGCCCATGCAACACCGTCCGTGCCCATGCAACACCGTCCGTGCCCAACTCATTACATGCTGCATCCCCAGCTGTTCTTACTAATGTTTTTCACATCAATGGCCTATAATTTCTTAAAAGATAAAACTCAGAAAGAAATACTAATTTCAAATAACTCTTAGGTAAACCTTTTCCATAAAATATAACTGCTAAACCTGATAAACGTAAGTTATTCACCTGCTTTGTCTTCATCCTCAGAATCAGAATCAAAATATACATCATCATAGTACTTTGGTGAAGCTGTTCCAACTTTCCCATTTCCTGAGGAAGACCCTACTGAAACCAGAAGGGAAGTTTACAGATTAAACCATACATAATTCATAAGGAAAAAAACCCATATACTTTCATCACCTCAAAGTAATATCAACTTCATTCCCAATCTCATTTGGATGGAGAAATACTTTCACATCGATGGCTTATTGAATTTCTGTGCCCTAGGCAATTACAGAGAACTATCCCTTTTTATTTTTTTTTATTTTTTTTAATTGTTCTTTAGATGAAGGTTTACAGAGCAAATTAGTTTCTCATTAAACAATTAATACACTTTTTTTTGTGACACTGGTTGCCAACCTCGCGACATGTCAACACTCTCCCCTTCTCGACCCTGGGTTCTCCATTTCTATTTGTCCAGCTTTCCTGTCCCCTCCTGTCTTCTAGTCCTTGCCCCTGGGCTGGTGTGCTCATTTAGTCTCATATACGTGGCTGATCTACATGTATTACTGTTTGTTCTATGGGCCTGTCCAATCTTTGGGAACTATCCTTTCTTGATTAAGTGTTCAATATCCTAAGAATATTATTCTTTCTCTCTTTCCACAAATCTAATTAAATAAAACTGTCATGTTTTCAGGTTGCTAGCATACATGTCTCTATATTTCAGTCATGCAGTATACTGTGAAGAAGAGAGAATAAACATCTTGTTTTAAAGGAATTTAGGGGAGAAAAACTCTATAGAGAACCAAAATAAAAAATGAACGAGCGGACATTACAACTGACCCAAGAGAAATAAAGAGAATAATCATAGAATATTATGAACAACTCTGGCAACAAACTGGATAACCTAGATGAAATGGACAAATTCTTAGAAGCACACAACCTACCCAAACTGACTCAAAAGGAAACAAAAGTCTCAACAGACCCAGAACAAGTGAAGAGATCGAATCAATGATCAAAAACCTCCCTGCAAAAGAAGTCCTGGACCAGACGGCTTCACTGGGTAATTCTAACAAACATTTAGAGAAGAACTGACACCAAAACTGTTTAAACTCATCCAAAAGATACAGAAGGAGGGAATACTCCCTAATTCATTCTATGAAGCAAATATAACCCTGATACCCAAACCAGACAAAGACACCACAAGAAAAGAAAACTATAGGCTAATATTTCTTATGAACATAGACACAAAAATCCTCAAGAAAATACTAACAAACAAAATCCGAGAGCATTTTAAAAAAGTCATACACCATGACCAAGTAGGATTTATTCCAGGAATTCAGAGATGGTTCAACATTACAAAATAATCAATATAATACACCACATCAATAGAACAAAGGAAATGAACCATATGATCATCTCTATGCATGCAGAAAAAGCATGTGATAAAATCCAACACTCTCTCTTGATGAAAACCCTAAAGAAGATTGGAATAGAAGGGAAATTACTCAGTATGATTTAGGGAATATATGAAAAGCCAACAGCCAACATTATACTTAATGGAGAAAGACTGAGAACTTTCCCCTTGAAATGGGGAACAAGACAAGCGTGCCTGCTCTTACCACTTCTATTCAATGTTGTATTAGAAGTCCTAGCCAGAGCAATAAGAAGAAAAAGAAATAAAAGGTATCCAGATTGAAAAAAGAAGAAACAAAATTATCTCTATTTGCAGATTATATGATCCTATATACAGAAAATCTCAAAGAGTCTACAAGAAAACTTCTAGAGCTAACAGAGGAATTGAGCAAATCTGCAGGGTACAAGGGCAACAAATAAAAATCAGTGGGTTTCTATACACCAGCAATGAGAAATCTCAAAGGGAAACCAGGGAAACAATTCCATTTACAATAGCATCTAAGAGAACAAAATACCTAGGAATAAATCTAACCAGGGATGTGAATGACTTATACAATGAAAACTATGTAACACAGCTGAAAGACATTAAAGAAGACTTAAATAAATGGAAAGATGATCCATGTTCATGGACTGGAAGACTTAATATTGTCAAGATGTCAATACTACCCAAAGCAGTCTGTAGATTCAACATAATCCTGATCAAACTTCCAATAGCCTTCTTTACAGAAATAGAAAAATCAATCCTCAACTTTATATGGAATGGCAAGAGGCCCTGAATAGCTAAAACAATGCTGAAAGAGAAGAACAAAGTGGGAGGACTCACATTTCCAGATTTTAAAACATACTATACAGCTACAGTATTCAAAACAGCCTGGTACTGGTATAAAAACAGACACATGGACCAATGGAATAGAATTGAGAATCCGGAAATAAACCCACACATCTATGGTCAACCGATTTTTGACAAGACTGCTAAGCCCATTCGATGGGGAAAGAAGAATCTCTTCAATAAATGGTGATGGGGAACCTGGATTTCCACATGCACAAAATGAAACAGGATCCATGCCTCACACCATACACAAAAACAAATTCAAAATGGATTCACGACCTAAATGTACAAACTAAAACCATAAAATGCTTGGAAGAACGAGCACGGGCAACGTTATCAGGCCTAGCTTTCAACAATGAATTATCTAATACAATAACAAAAGCACAAACAGCAAAAGACAAAATCAATAAATGGGACCTCAGAAAAATTAAAAACTTTAGTTCATCAAAAGACTTCACCAAAAAAAAGACAAGCTACTGACTAGGAGAATATCTTCAGAAACCATATATCTGACAAGAATCTAATAACCAAAATATATATAAAACTTTGACAAAAAGACAAATGACAAATAACCCAATCATAAAATGGGCAAAGGACTTGAATCAACATTTCACCAAAGAGGACACTCAACTGGCCACCAAACACATGAAAAAAGATGCTCAGCATCATTGGCCGTTAGAGAGATGTAAATCAAAACCACAATGAGATACCATTTAACTCCCACCAGGACTGCTTAAAAAAAAAAAGCAAATGTTGGCAAGGATGTGGGGAAATTGGAACCTTTACCCATTGCTGGTGGGAATGCAAAATGGTACAGTCGCTGTGAAAAACAGTGTAGCAGTTCCTCAAAAGACTAAAAACAGAACTACTATCTGACCCTGCCATTCCATTCCTAGGTATATACCCATAAGACTTGAAAGCAGAGACTCAAAAAGAGACTTGTACACCAATGTTCATTGTAGCACTATTCACAATAGCCAAAAGGTGGAAACAACCTAAATGACCATCAACAGATAAATGGATAAACAAAATGTGGTACACATGTACAATGGAATACTACTCAGCCAATAGATGAAATGAAGTCTTGATACATGCTACAGTACAGATGGAGCTTGAAGACATTATGCTGAGCGAAATAACCCAATCACCAAAGGACAAACATTGTATGACCTCACTTACATAAAAAGGCAAGAAAAGGCAAATGTATCAGAGCACAGTGGTTAAGAGTTCAGCTGCTAACCAAAAGGTCAGCAGTTTGAATCTACCAGCAACTCCTTGGAAATATTATGGGGCAGTTCTACTCTGTCTGATAGGGTTGCTATGGGTTGGAATTGACTCGACGGCAACAGGTTTGATTTCTGTTTTTTTTCATAGAGACCAAAGTTTATTAGTGGTTATGAGGGGTGGGAGGAAGAGGGAAAAGGGGGGTTAATGGTGATGGAAAATCACATTGATTAAGGGTAGGGTTGCACAGCTGATTACTGTAACTGCTTCAGTAAGTTGTATACCTGTAAAAAGTTGAATTGGCAAAAGTTGTGTGAAAGATGTATTTACAACAACAACAAAAAAGTAGCTGCTGAGGCTGCTCTGTACAACCAAATGCCTCATGGAATTTGGTTCCCTGGTTTGGAGGTTTAGGGACATCCCAGTTAAATGGCCTAATAACTTATTTAGTGCTTCCGTTCTACCTCCTAGTTCAATGCATAATGCCTGAGGTCTTAAAAGCTTGCAAACAGCCATCCAAGGCACAACAATTTGTCGCTATTTGCCTGGAGCAACAGAGAAAGAAGGAGAGTCAGGAATACGAGGAGGACATGCAATGTGTGGCTAATTACCTCCACGAATAACTGCCTCCTTTGCCAGGAGACCAGAAGAAATGGATGGTGCCTGGCTCCAGAACATTTTGATCAAAGATTCCATAGAAGAATTCTGATCAAATGGGGAAAAATAAAGAATTTCAAATTCTCACGGACTCTAGACTTTCTGGAGCCACAGAGGGTGGATGAACCCCTAAAACTACTGCCCTGAGATAATCTTTAAAGCTTAAACCAAATATATCTCCTGAAGTCATCTTAAAACCAAACAGTAGTTTAGTTTAACTAGTAAAGAATGTCTGCCTTGAGCAATATGCTCTTTTAAGAACTATCTATATGGAATCAAAATGACAACAGTAACTCCAAAGATTAGACAGGAACCTTAGAGGGCAGTGAGTTTATGTTAATGAGGGAGGAAAAACTCAGAAAAGGAGGGTAAGAATGGTTGCACAACACAAAGAATATAATCAACGTGACTGAATGGTACATGTAGAAACTGTTCAATTCGTGTATGTTTTGCTGTGTATATTCTCAACAACAACAAACTAAATAAATTTATAAGGGGGGAAAAAAGAACTCTGTAGAGACTCAAGAAGAATGAGTCAAGGACACACTTACGCTCCCCAGTTGTGCCCAGTGCCATGACATTATCTACCTATGTCATTACATGCTTGCATCACCAATCATTCCTCTTAATTAACATCTGCTTTTGGTTTTTTAAAGTATTACTATATTACTGTTGCCACTATTATTTTATTCTCTCAGTTCTTAATGAAAGAACTTAGTACTTTTAACATGGGACCCAGTTTTAGGGTCAGATACATTTCAAATAAAGGACAAGTATCAAAATGAAGTTCTCTTAGATAAATCCACTAGATCACTCTAGTAAGGAAATGCTGTTATTGCCCAAGATGAAGAGTACAGGAAAATAAGTATGTAAGCTCCCCCTGAGCATATGAGTTTATAATAAAGCAAAATGCTAACACCCAGCATTTGTGTGACTTGTTTCAGAAAGAATTTTACTGGTTCTGGCTTATAGAATGCCTTAAATTTTTAAACTGCTTAGCAGTGTTTCATGACTTACTAAAATGAAATAGGAATTTGTGGTACTGCACCATTAAATCTGCCCTATCAGTGCTATCTACCCCTTAAAAATACTTATATAATCTTGTGAGGAATAAAAAGTACAATGAAAATTATGCAAGTAAATAGTGCAAAATAATCTCTTTCCACCAACATAGGAAACTTCTTCACTAGTCATCAAAGAAAATTCCAGGTCAGGTTGCTAAACATATTTATTCATTTACTCAATAAAGATTTATTGAGCACCTACTGAAAGTACTGTCGACACAGCAGAGCACCAAATAGGGTTCCTGCCCTTAGGAAGCTTACAAAAATATATGAAATTTTAACTAAACTCTACCTGTTTCCAGAGAGGATAACTTGTCCTCCATTGTCTTTATGGTAGAATTTAATTCTGCTTCCATTTCTTTTTCAAATTCATCTTCACTCGATGATTCACTTTCTCCAGTAAGACATTCTCTGATGAGCTTTCGTTTTTGGTCAGGAGTTCCATGTAAAAGCACATCCACTTCATCTTCAGAGCTAGTGTACATTTAAATGGGAAGGAATATGAATATTAAAGAATTAAAATAACTTAAAACTCTCATAATCTCATTGCCCAAAAATAACCTTAAGTTCTACAAGGTTGTATTTGATATACCTATCACATTATATTTACTTTCTCACTTAACAGATTAACCATTTCTACCCGTATTTTTTAACGTCTGTGTAATATTTCCTCTTGCAGATTTATCACTTTCTATGCTGTACATTTACTTCCAACTTTTTGCTATTAGACACTACAATGCACATTTCTGCATGTGTAATTTTATTTCTGTTGATTTCCTTAGGATAAATGTCTAGAAACATCTTTCTGACTTTTGGTATTGTCACACTGCTTTCCAAAATCAGTGCACCAATTCATCATTTCATCAACAATGAAAAGTTTACCTCATTGAACTGGGTGTTTTTAAAACTCTGGATACTTAAATAAAACTTAATATACATAACTAATATAACCATATAAAATATAACTCGTAAGACAGTAATTAAATATTATAGTTTAAAAGTCACAGTGCAATAGAAAACTATAAAAAGAGAGAAAGCTAAATTCTCCTGAGTAATTTCTGCCAATTTATTTTGCCTTCTGTGCCTGGGTTTCTTCATCAATAAAACAAGATGTCATCAAAATATGTTAAACACCTAAGAAAACGTTTCTAATATAACCAAGAATATATAAATAACATTCAACTATTCACGAACTGATGAACAATTACAGACTACTCCTGGTTTTTGCTTCCCTTATTTTTCTCTTCTAGACTAATGCTTTTGAGCCTCCAGCAGACGGGAAATCAGAAAGATGCAATTCATGCCAGTCAGTTTTGCTAATCATAGAGGCTTCAGCCAGATTCTACTCCCAAGAAAATTCCCCATCTAAGCTTCGTGTTCCTGATCAGCATGTTCCCTTTCTCCATTACCACTATCTTCACTCACGTCCTCCTAACCTTGCCTGCACCACCATATTCTAAGGATCTCCAGGCCTCTAAACTCTCTTCTATCACATTTCACCCTTAACCCCGCTACCAGAAGGTTCTTCCTAAAGAACTCTTATCCCATCACTACCCAGTTCAGAAACATTCCATGCCCAAACTTCCAAACACAGCCTTCCACAATATGCATCCAATTTACCTTTTCAACCTTATGTCTCACTATTACCCTTTAACTAGCCCAGTGGTTCTCAACTGGGGACAACTTTGCCCCCCAAGGAACATTTGGAAATGTCTAGAGACATTTTTGGTTGTTACAACTTGGGGAGAAGTGCTACTGGCATCTAGTGGGTAGAGGCCAGGGATGCTGCTAAACATCCTACAAGGCAAAGGGCATCCGCTCACGAAAAAGGATTATCTGGCCCAAAATGCTAACGGTGCCAAGGTTGAGAAACTGTGATCTACCGTATCTAAAATATATTCCAGTTTCTTCAAAGTGTGGGTTGCAAGACATTATTTTAAGTAGTAGTGGAACTGGACAGCCCACTAAATAACACTGAATCCACTACCAGCTGGAATGTAAAATGGTATAGTCACTCAGGAAAACCGATCGGCATTTCTTCAAAAACTAAACATGCAACTACCACATGACCCAGCAATTGCACTCCTGGGCATTTATCCCAGAGAAGTGAAAATTTATGTTCATATAAAACCTATACACAAACGTTTCTAACAGTTTTATTCATAATAGCCAAAACTACAAACAACCCAGATGTTCTTCAATGGCTGAATGGTTAAACAACCTGGAATACTACTCAGCAATAAAAAGGAATGAACTATTGACACACGCAATAACCTGGATGGAATCTCCAGAGTGTTATGCTAGCGAAAAAAGCCAATCCCAGACTGTTACAGACTACATAACATCCTTGAAGGAACAATATTACAGAAATACAGAACAGAATAGTTGCCAGGGATTAAGTAGGAGGGCAATGGATAGGAGGAAAATAGGCATGGCTAAGAAAGAGAACTTGATGAATCCTCGTGGTTATGGAAGTGCTCTGTATGTTGACTGTGTTAATGTCAATATCCTGATATTGTACTATAGTTTTGCAATATGTTAACACTGAGGGAAACTGAGTGAAGAATTCAAAGGATCTCTATTATTTCTTACAAGTACATGTGAATCTACAGCTACCTCAAAATAAAATTTAACTTAAAAAAATAGCACTGAGTCACAATGTAAAAAAGTTATTCTCTTTGCAAATGTTCTTCAACCCATGTGATTATTTCAAGAGCAGTCTAAGTGTTAAGCACTCCCGAGAGAGGCAACCCGCCATGGGCCCTGCACATTCTTATTGAGTATGCCAAGAATGCAAGGCTCTAACCACTCTTCATCCAGGCAACATTTCAGGGTTGTGTTTGCAGCAAACAACCTTGAGGGTGGGATAATGTCTCCCTCCAGGACAATAAGGAGGCTGACTTACTGCCTACCGTGAAAGTGATGGATCTCCCCAAGCTCAACGACCAGACAAACCCACTGCATGTGCAGCATCCACCAGGCCCCTCTGCATAGCACCTTAAGAGGTGGGAAGCAAGAGCAACCAACACAAACTTGATGCTCACGATGCTTGCTGTGCCTTGAGTAATAAACTCCTTTGTGTCTGACCCAGGAGTCTCATGTCTTTTGACAGATTCCATGAAACAGTAACAAGCTAACATATTAGCTTATTAAGTGGGTTAAAATCAAATCCCAGTCCCTGACAAACACCTCTCTAACACTAATCTCCCTTTTTTTTTTAATTGTGCTTTAAGTCAAACTTTACAGCTCAAGTTAGTTTCTCATACAAAAATTTATACACACATTGTTATGTGACCCCAGTTGCTATCCCTATGTCAGCACACTCCTCCTTTCGACCCCAAATTTCCCATGTCCACTCAACCAGCTTCTGTCCTTTCTGCCTTATCTCGCCTCCAGACAGGAGCTGCCCATTCTAATTTCCCTTTTTAAAATAGAAAGTAGGCCTTGGGTTTAGAGCTGCCAGCAGGCAATATTGTCTAATAACATTGCTTTGCTTTCATAGTATTTATTTTTACAGTTACCTTACCAGTGGCAACTGTCACAGGATTAAAAAGCTTCCTTAAAAATTTTAAGTATAAAAAGTTGACTTAAATAAAAGCATTAATAACAGGTATATATGGAAATGGTATGGCAGAATGACTCAAATCTTGGAAACACTGCTATATTCCAATCAAACTGAACTGAGACCTACATATACTTCTGTGCACAAATAGGACCCATTGACTAAATATCCTTTTTATAGGGAATCCTGGTATCCATCCTCACTTCCCACAACAGAAGTCTTCACAGCAGTCTCATCTGCCATGCCTACTACCCCTCTCATGGATAATTTGAGGAAACCCTGTGACTGAAGGGGGTATGCCTTCACTGAAAGCATCATGCGACAGACTTAATTTTTCCTTTAGTTTTTAATAATAGAACTGCTTATAGTTTAAGAAATGGCTAAATGTGCTTGAAAATCTCCTGGCAACCTAACTGCAAATTTTCCCAAGACAGGATTAATCCCTCCCTTCCAGAAAATACCATGAAACTTCATCGGTGCCTATCTCAGGACATCATTTTCCACAATGCTCTTCCGAGATATATACTTTGTCTTATTTTCCCTACTATACTGTAAGCCTGTGGAAGATAAGGATCTTGTGATTGACCTCTGTAGTCCAGAGCAGCATGTAATGTGTGCTCAAAAAAAGGTTGTTCAATATTCCCTTATTTCTGCAGTTTAGTCTCCAAAATGGGCACCTCACATAGATTATGTCATGTGAGCCTCACAACAAACTTATGATACAGTAATTACATTTCCACTTTATAGATGAGAAGCCGAGGGTAAGCGACTTGCTTTCGGTCACACCGCTAGTAAACTGCAGCGGCTGGATTCAATCTCACAGCTTTTGAAGATTTTCGCGTGGCCTCCAGTGACTCCGAAACATCACTCTTCCCCGCGCCGGTGTCGGCCCCGCCTCCCCCGGGACTGCGCGACCCCTTACCAGAACCCTCCCTCGGCCTCCTACAGGCGACTACCCGGCGCGAGGGGCGCCGGAACCGACGGGCCGAGAGTCCGCACAGGCCCAGGAGGCGCAGCGAGGGAAGGCGAAGGCCCGGCCTCGGCCCCGAGCCTCGGGGACAGAGCGGGGTAGGGACCCACCTGCTTAGAGCCGGCTCCTCGTCGCTGGGCTCTTCAACGGCGTAGGGGTCATAGTCGTCTGACAGCCGGTTCATGGTGTCCTGCACCAGCCCACACAACACACCCGCAGGCAACTGTGTATCTGTTTACTCCGGTCCCTTCCCTAAAGAGTCCTACTTCACTTCCGCCGGAACGTCTGTGTCCTCCTGCGCGCCTGCGCAGATCGTCCCTGCTAGGGATGGGGCAGAAGTAGGGGGCGGGTCCCAGAGGTGAGGTGAAGAAGCCGAAATCTAGATGGTGAGGGACTTGCAGCCTGAGGTTGGGGTCAGTAGGTCCCCAGACACGGACACTCGACGTTGCTCCACCATCCTCGCTCAGGCCCTTCGGCCCTTCTTACACTGCACCTTTCAGCCTCGCCTTCACAGTATTCACGCCTCAGACTGACTTCAGCCTATCTACTGAAAAGTTGCTAGGCTGTCTCCAGTTACCTCCTAACTACCGTTTTTCAGTCCCAACCTTTTCTCAGCACTCACCTGATACCACTCGGTGCTTGAGGAGATGAGGCAGATGACAGCCTCTTTGCGGACTTCCTTCCCTGCTTCTGGACCGGCCTGTACTCGGGTTCCTCCTCCCAATCATCTCTTCCCGCTTCCTCATAATCCCATCCGGTTGACTACCCCCATTTGTATCAGTTGCCTGCTAAATATCTCCACCTGCTGCATCACGGGCAACTCATTTACTCAATGTGGCCCAAAACCAACTCAACATGGTCCACCCGCCTCCTATACCTCAGACAATAGCTACTTTTGACTCTTGATTTCTTCTTGTGTCACTTCTGCCATCCTCACAACTGCTATAGGCTGAAAGACTTGGAATCATGGTTGATTGCTTCCTTTCTCTGTCCCTCTATGGGCCCTCAATTCCCAAGTCCTGTAGATTGCTTATCACCAATGTCTCTCTCAACCATATCCCACCCCACACCCTAACTATTGATATGGCCTCCTAATTGACAGCCTTGCTTTGCTCTTTTTCCCTCTCCAATCCATGCCTCTGTGTACTGTCAGAGGGATCCTCTTTCAGCACAGCTCTGCTCTGGACAATTTCCCTAAAAAGTCCTAATATTTCACCTCTATCTGCTGAGTCTGATCACTTTAGCCTGCAGTATTCTTGGCCTTCCAAAATAGGGTCCAATCCATCATGCCTAACTAATTTCTCACTACACTCCTACACATATACAGCATGGTTTGCTTATTCCAGGGTATGTGCTATGCCTTTTGACCACTATGAACTTATGCTATACCCTGGAACACCCTCGTCTACTTTTATCTCCAACTGTCCAAATTCTGGAGCCCTGGTAGTGCAATGGTTAAGAGCTTGGCTGCTAACCAGAAGGTTAGCAGTTCGAATCTACCAGCCGCTCCTTGGAAACTGCGTGGGGCAGTTTTACTCTGTCCTACAGGATCCCTATGAGTCAGAATTGACTCGATGGCAACAGGGGCAATGGGTTTCGGGTCCAAATCTTATTTGTCCTTCAAGATCTATCTGCAAGCAGTGGACAGGTCAGTAGTCGGACAGAACAACTTTTAGGATACTTTTCAACCCTGAAATCTTGTACTTATAGGTACTCACATGGTACCTCTTCTTGACGCTTTTTTAGAGTCTTCCTCTACATGTGATCTTTCCCTGCTTTAATCCTTGTAGCATATTGAACCACTCTTATGCCATGTATTTCTCTGGTTTTCAACTATTGTTCCATGCAAGCTTCTTGAGAGGTACAATGCTCTCCCATATGCCACAGTGTTGGGGTGATTATTTTTCCTTTTCTAGGAATTGTGGTTCCCTTCAGGAATATGCCCTTAAATCCATGTTCATCCTATTACACAAAAGCTGGACCAGTTATATTCTTGCTCCCACGGATTTAAAATTAAGAATTAGAGATTCTAGTGAGTTGGGTGTGGTCCTAGGACTTGTAACAGAACAAGTAAACTCAGAGGCTGAGATTTGTATGTGCTGATGATAAGCAAGCAAAGAGAAATAAGAGTATAGAGCAGGCAGAGAAAAAAGCAAAGAGGCTTGTCTGCCCATTCTCTATCCCTTAACATACCTTTTTCTTCTACTTCATATTACTTATTTGTTTGCCTACTGTCTATCTCCTGGCTCCACTTATCTATTGCTGGTCAAAAACCCACCCTAAAACTTAAGGGCTTTGAAACAACAATTTTGGCAGGTATGACTCTGCTCCCTGATGTCTGGGGCCTTGGCTGGCGACTGAAGCAACTCGGGGCTAGATGAGCATCTCTCCTTCCATGCATCTTTCTTCACGAAGCCATGGGCTTCCTCGCAGCATAGCAGCTCAAGTCTCCAAGACAGTGTTCCCAGAGACCCAGATAGAAGCTACAAAGCTTCCTCTGTCATAGCATCAGAAGTCCCTGATTGTCACTTCTGCCACGTTCTATTGGACAAGCTATTCACTGAGGACAGCCTAGGTTCAAGGGGAGGGGAATTAGACTCTGTGTCTCAATGGGAGGAGTAGCAAAGAATTTGTGGCCATCGCTTATCTTCCACACTTCCCCATTAGACTGTAAACTCCAGGAGGGCAGAGGCCTGGTCTGTCTTGTTCACTACTATATCATCCCCATCCCCACTTGGCATGCTCCAGGGATGTGTATGTGATGTAGGCATGAGCAGTCGGAGCTATAATGACTGCTTTAGGGATAACCCAAGGTGGGACAAACTGGTCTCCTGGAACTTTTGCTATATGTCTTCAAAGAGTGCTATCTTAGGAATGACAAGGTGTAGACACAAGTTGAGTGCTGCTGGTAGCCATCTCTGCCACAATGAGGAACAGACTGCTTCAAAAAAATGCAGGCAACGTAGATGAAGGCAGAGACAGGTGGGGAGAGGCAATTATGTTGTAATTTGAGCCCTGGGTCAACGAAACCTGAAGATTCATGAGTGTGTCAAGCTTACTTCCTTGATTAAGCTAGCTTGAGTTGTGTTTCTGTCACTCTTAACTTAGTCTTGACCAAAATACAAGTGGATGCCCCTGTTCCTGCTAGAGCTTGAAGCAATGACCTCTCCTGACACTTGGAAGGCCAGGAACCCATTTATGACACCAAGTAGGGGAGGGGTTCTCAAGAGTTCTGTTCACTGTGAATGACTTCTTGTCTAAATACAAAATGGGAGTTGAACAGATTAGATGGAATATTTCAGAAAATGTGAATTGGATTTAAACATAACAGTGTAATAACTGGAAGGGGGGAAAAGCCCTCATAATAATCTTGTCTTGTGAGGGTGATTTCGAGCTGGCAAGAACAAAACGGGCTGAAAACTTTTTGCTGACATGAAGGGGAGACCAAACCGGACCCCTGACCTAACATGCCCTCGGTGGGTCCTTCCACAAGCGGGCGGCGGGGACAGCGAGATCCCTCTTCTCCAGCCTCCCCACTACAGGCCGCGGACACACCGCTGCGCCCGGGTCTCTCCTGGATTTTCGTAGGTCGGGAGCGGGGACAACAGAGAGATGACTGGAGACATCATAACCTGGGCGGGGCGTATGCAGATTAGCAGGGCGCGCAGAGCCCGCTGGTCCTGCTCAGCCTGGGCTCCCACGTCCTGCTGCTGGCAAGATCCAATTGTTCCAGGTTACTTTTCTGATTTGTGAGGTTGGAAGAAGGGGCGCTGAAGAAGCGGGGGTGTGGTGGCAGCATGAGGAAAGTGACCGTGTCTATAGAGCGTGAGGCCCGCGAGGGCGTGAGTGGAGGCGAAACTAGCAGTTACTATTTAGTTAGTATGAAAAAAACTGATTACAAAGGTGGTTTTTTAAAACAAAGTTTATTGTTTGCATTTTAGTTGTATTGATTTCTATGATTTCCGCAAAAGTGGAGAACTCGATTGTAATATTCCTGACAATGAGAGAGTGCGTTCGCGTTTTCCGCTAGTTTTTGTCGTACCCGAAAAGATAGGTTGCTAAAAGCTTTTTTTCGTTAGTTACTTGTTTTTTTTGTGGCATTTATTTGCTGAAGTATTGATGTAATTATTTTTTATTCTGTATATCCACAATCAACATCTCCCGTAAACTACAGTCAAGATATCATAAACGTTCATTGCCTTAACCCAATCTGCTGCAAGTACTTCTCTTCAGAGTATTCAAAAGCAAAGATATCATCTAGAAGATTAAGTGCCCCTGACTCAAGCTATAGCGTTTTCAATTGTCTTATGCATGTGAAAGCTGGGTGATGAATAACGAAGTTTGAATTATGGTGTCGGGGAAGAATATTGAATAAATGGTGGGCTGCCAAAAGAATGAATAAGTCTTTTTTGCTGGTCCGCTACTTTATCAAACATGATGCCTTTTTCCAGGGACTGATCTCTCCTGATAGTGTTAGGGGACCCTAGAGGCGGAAGACACCTAATTAATTAGTACTCCACCAGTTATCAGGCTACTCCCAGTCACCTCCCCACCATGTCACTCACTTCGTCTAAGTTGTTTTGCAGACTCTCTGGAGAGCCCTGGAGGGATCCAGATCTAAAGGCTCAGAGTGGTCAGACGTGCATAGAACAGACAAACACGATCAACAGCAGACCCTGGGCCGCCACGCACGCTCAATAGCACAAGAGAACTGTGCCAAGGAATGACAAGACTCATGTCAAAGAAGCAAAATCACCGGACAAACGTCATATGCAGTAGCTGAGCCCATTTCAAAAGCGAAGAGTCCATCAACAGATTCCGTGCCAAGTCTTAGCCCCGCCTCATAATAAATAATCAATAGAACTATGAATATGTAGAACCTGACCTGCCCACCTGCCCACCTGCCTTCCTCCACCCCTGTATGAATATGTATAATTCCCCAAACCTACAAAACGTAAATACTTCCTTAAATGGAGGAACTCAATCTGAGGTCGATACCTCTGATTTCCGGCTTGCTAGCCTGCAAAATAAACTCCTTCCTTTCAAAACCAGCATCTGAGAGATTGGCTCGTTGCACGCTGGGCACGGACCCACTGGTACAGTTTCAATAACGTGTCCAGTATGTGAGACAAAGTCTCATCCTTGATTTAAGGAGCATTCTAGCTGTACTTCTTCCAAGACAGATTTGTTTGTTCTTTTGGCAGTCCATGGTATATTCAATATCCTTCACCAACACATAATTCAAAGACATTAATTCTTCAGTCTTCTTTATTCATTGTCCAGCTTTCCCATGCTTGAGGCAATTGAAAACACCAGGTCCTTCTTCCTAGTCTGTCTTAGTCTGGAAGTTCAGCTGAAACGTGTCCACCATGGGTGACCCTGCTGGTATTTGAAATACCAGTAGCATAGCTTACAGCACCACAGCAACATGCAAGCCACCACAGTACGACAAACTGATAGACGTTTGGGACCTTAAGGGTATAGTCAGCACCAACTCCGTGGGCAAAGAGGAAGGTCAAGAAGGTTCTGGCACCCTGGCTGGAAGTTGGAAGGGCTGGAGTAAGTCAGAGCAGCAGGCAGACTTGATCAAAACTGAGGGGAGAAAGGAAAAAATGGGAGGACAAGGGAAGTGAATGGGATGGTAGAAGCAATGGGCCATGCTCAGAGCCCAGGAAGTCAAGTCAATCAGCCGACAAGGAAGGCTCCATGCTGGGTGCAAAGCAAGAATTGTGGACAGGTAGTAGAAATGGGAGAGGAGTCTGAGCTCCTAGGTGTGGTTGTGCAGTTAGCTTTCACACCAGGCACAGAACTCTTATTTAAGCAGCAAAGAGAAGATGGAACAGGCACCTAGGGAAAATATCCCAGGATCTTGAACAAGCAGGCAAAATAAATAGGGTGTGGACATTGATCATGAGACGGGCTCTGAGGTTGGAAGGAGTGAGATCCTCCCAAGGGAGGTGGAGTCCGTAAGGAGCTGCTGATAGTGCTCTGGGCTGAGTACAGTGGGAATTCCCAGTTTTCCAACATTTTTTAGGCAAGTGCTGGGGTTCGTTGGCAACATCGTCTTCAGGAAGGGCTGGAACCGAGTCAGTCGTCTCCCAGATAGACATATATGTGTCGTCACAGTGAAAGCTCATCTACGAGGCTCCCAAAAATAGGGGACTTGTGTCTTCTTTAATGGACTTGGGATACAAGGCAAGACTCCATCTAGAAAGGCCTTTCATGAATATCTTGACCGCCTATGAACATGTCTCTAGGAAGAAGCAAGAGATTTTGGGATGAGTTTTAGGATTGGAGGCCAATATGCTGACATAGAATTTTCCTCCATAGATAATGTTGCCCTTTCACTATCTTAAATCTCTTATGTCAAAACCTCCCCTGAGGTCACTCCCACTGGGATATGTACGCTATAAAAGTAAAATTGTTGTTGTTGACGGTGGGTGCCAATTCCAACTCGTAGCAACCCATGTAACACAGTAGAACTGCCCCCATAGGGTTTTCTAGGCTGTAATCTTCATGGAAGCAGATCGCCAAGTCTTTCTCTCATAGAGCTACTGTGTGCATTCCAACTACCAAGCTTCTGGTTATCAGCCAAGCGCTTAATCGTTGCACCACCAGGGCTCCAAAGAGTAATACACGAATCTTTTTTTAAAAAAAAAAAAGTCAATTTTTTTCCTGATGTCAAAGGGGATAGAGGCATTGCCCCGTAGGGTTTAATTTTAAAATAGGTAAAGAAACGCTCAAGTCTATAATGCATAAACTTGTTTAGTTTATTGCAAGGTAGTCACGGCAGGCACACAGGTAAGACCCTACGACATTCAATGACCAGAGAATCAAAGTTAAACAATTACAACATTTGTCCAATAGTTAGAGTTCAAATCTTTAGACTTCAGGCTTTTATCTCTAGCAAGACGTCTTGGGATGCAAGTTTAGCAAGCAGCATGGCCTCGACAGAGGTCCCTTGGTGCTGGGGTTCGAGATCGGTGGTGGAGAGGCAAGACAGTCTCAGGCAGAGCCTCTGGCAGCACTGGGTCTCTGAAGAGCTCAATTGCCTCTGACTTGCTCTCAGTGAAGGGGGAAAAGCCTGGGTTTTTTTAATTTTTTTTTTTTTATTGTACTTTAGGTGAAGGTTTACAGAACAAATAGTTTCTCATTAAACAGTCAGTACACATATTGTTTTATGACGTTGGTTAATAACCCCACAACATGTCAACACTCTCCCTTCTCAACCTTGGAGGACCTTTCTTTTTTTCGGTGAAAATACACATAGCCGAAGACACACCATTTCAAAAATTTCTACATACACAATTCAGTGACATTGATAACGTTCTTCCAGTTGTGCTGCTATTCTCACTTTATATGAAGGTTTACAGAACAAAATAGTTTCTCATTAAACAGTTAGTAGACATATTGCCCTATGACAATGGTTAACAACCCCACTACATGTCAACACTGTCTTTACTCAACCTTGGGTTCCCTATCACCCGCTTTCCTGTCCCCTTCTGCCTTCTAGTCTTTGTCCCTGGACTGCTGTGCCTCATTAGTCCCGTTTTGTTTTATGGGGCTGTCCAATCTCCAGCTGAACAGTGAACCTCAGGAGTGACTTCACCACTGAGCTAAAAGGGTGTCTGGAGGCCATATTCTCGGGGTTTCTCCAGTCTCCATCAGGCCAGTAAATCTGGTCTTTTTTCGTGAGCTAGAATTTTGTTCTATATTTTTCTCCAGCTCTGTCCGGGACCCTCTGTTGTGATCCCAGTCAGAACAGTCAGTGATGGTAGCCGGGCACCCTCTAATTGTACTGGACTCAGTCTGGTGGTAGCTGTGGTCCATTAGTCCTTTGGACTAATCTTTTCCTTGTATCTTGTTTTCTTCATTCTCCCTGGCTGCCGAAGAGGTGAATCCATTGGAGTATCCTAGATGGCTACTCACAGGCCTTTAAGACCCCGGACGCTACTCACCAAGGTAGAATGTAGAGCATTGTCTTTATAAACTGTGTTATGCCAGTTGAGCTAGATGTTCCCCGAGACCATGGTCCCCAGAGCCCTCTGCCCAGCAATTCAGTCCCTCAGGGAGTTTGGATGTGTCTATGGAGCTTCCATGACCTTTCCTTGTACAAGTTGTGCTAGCTTCCCCAGTATTGTGTACTGTCTCACCCTTCACCAAAGTTACCACTTATCTATTGTCTATTTAGTATTTCTCCCCCACCCCTCCCATCCCTCGTAACCAACAAAGATTGTTACTTTTTGTGTGTAAACTTTTTCATGGGTTTTTACAATAGAGGTCTCATACAATATTTATTCTTTTGTGATTGACTTATTTCACTCAGCATAATGTCCTCCAGTTTCATCCATGTTATGAGATGCTTTGCAGATTCAACATTGTTCTTCATTGTTGCATAATACTCCATTGTGTGTACGTACCATAGTTTGTTTATCCATTCATCTGTTCATGGGCATCTAGGTTGTTTCCATCTTTTTGCTATTGTGAACAATGCTGCAATGAACATGGGTGTGCATATGTCTATTCGTGTGACGGCTCTTATTTCTCTAGGATGTATTCCTAGGAGTGGGATTGCTGGATCATATGGTTATTTCTATTTCTAGCTTTCTAAGAAAGCGCCATATCATTTTCCAAAATGGTTGTATCATTTTGCATTCCCACAAGCAGTGGATAAGAGTTCCCAACTCCCTGCAGCCTCTCCAACATTTGATACTACCAGTGTTTTTGATTCATGCCAGTTATGCTGGGGTGAGATGGTATCTCATAGTTTTAATTTGCATTTCTCTAATGGCTAGTGATCGTGAGCATTTCTTTAAGTGTCTGTTGGCTGTTTGAATGTCTTCTTTCATGAAGTGTCTGTTCATTTCCTTTGCCCATTTTTTAATTGGATTATTTGTCTTTTTGTTGTAGAGGTGTTGGATTTTCTTGTAGATTATAGAGATTAGGCCTTTGTCTGACTTGTAATGCCCAAGAATTTTTTCCAAGTCTGTAGGTTTTCTTTTTACTCTTTTGGTGAAGTCTTTTGTAG